AACGCGCACCCCCCTAGGGGTCAGGGCCTCTAGCCCGTAGCCCGATACCGATCATCCGGCCCGCTGGGTGCGCTTCTTAGCTCCCCGGCCCTGGATGTGAGGTTGATAACTGCACTCCAAGTGCTCCGGCGGCCCGACGGTGGCCGGCGCTTGCGCGCCAGCCCCGTCCGCCGCCGGATCCGCGGCCGCGGGGTCCCTGTCATAGCTACCGGTACGCGCGCCATGGGGCGACTTTGTTATGTACATTATCTCGTGCAACGACCCTCCTGTGTGGCGCCTCGCGCTCCCGGAGAGAGAGAGAGAGATTTTTAGCAATACCAAACAACTCACACGAGAATGTCTCAGACACTGACGTCTCACACCGGCAAGCACCACCACCAAGCGCGGCAGTCTCGGCTCTCACGCCGCTCTCCGGTACGTGTACCGCCCGTTCGCAAAGCTGACCGCGACCGGCGCGCCGTCCGCGCCTCCGAGCGCGTCGACGGCGGCGTCGCGCGCACCGGCCGTCTCGACGAGCATTCTCGCGGCGGTGGCCACGTCGGCGTCCGCGCCGCCGGCGACGACGAGCTCCCTCAGCCTCTTGAAGGCGTCGGCCGCGCGCACGTCGCGGATCGCCTGCTTGAGCGCCGGGTGGAAGTCTCCCGAGAGCACGTCCTCGGCGGGCCACCACTTTGTGGCCGCGTACTCCTTCTCGTCGAAGACGGCGCCGGCGACCTCGGCGTCGCCCAGCGCGAGCCGGTGCACCGTCGAGATGTCAGCCGTGCCGTTCCCCGCCGGCGGCTGCTGCCGGAACTGCCAGACGAACGAGTAGTTTGCGACCACCTCGAAGCGCTCGAGAGGCAGGTCGAGCTTGAGCTCGCGCCGCACGTTGCGCGCGGCGGCCGCCTCGGGCGTCTCGCCCGGCTTCGACCGGCCGCCGATGTACCACCAGTCCGGCTGCGGCTCCACCTTGCGCTGGCCCAGGAAGACCTTTGAGCCGCTCGCGTCGGTCACGAGGACGTCGGAGCACGCCTTGACGACGGTGTCGAGACAGCGGCCGTACTCGTCGTCGGGCAGGAAGCAGTGGCGCGGCGTGAACTCGCCGGTGATGAACTGCGGCGTCCGTTGCATGGCTGCGGGGCACGCTTTCTTGCACGGGACCCTTTTGTAAAATGAACTCGGGGGCACAGGACGCGGCACAAACGGGGTACACCAAAAGGCACGGGCTGCGTGACCCTTTCTGCGGAAGATGATGGCCGCCGAACGTCTCGTGGAGCAGCAGGTTGAAGTTGTTGCGCTTGACAAAGATCGCGTCGTGGTAGAAACCGCGATGCGCCTTGACGTAGCTGTGGCCGTTCTTGTGGTCGAAGGGTAGGCCGGGCTGCCCGCGCGCCTTGCAGCCCATGTTTAGGCGGCGGGCCTTCTCCTCGGTGTTGCCGAAGGCGTAGGAGTGGCCAACGGAGGCGGGCGTGCCGCCACTCGAGGCGTTGTGCCAACGCCCGTCGAGGAGGTCTTGAGGAGGGGCGTCCAGAGCGAGACTTCATTCACCTCATCGCTCCTCCCGGCCCTACTGGTGCGGTTGCGGCGACCCGGCGCGGGTGCCGCGCCCGCCGCTCGCCAGGCGATTGCCAACTTCGCCGCCGCGCCCTAGACGAGCACCGGCCGCGCGGCCGGTGCGTAGAAGACGGTGCTGGCGTGGAAGACGGCGGCCATCCGCGCGTATCTAGTGTGCGTGTCGGTGTCTGCAGCCTCCTGTGGAGCCTAACAGTAAGGCGGCCGCCGGTGGGGCGAGGGGGGGGGAGGGGGGTATGGTCCCGTCGGCAGGAGGCTGGGTCTGTCAGCTGGCGGGGGGGTATGGTCTCGAGGGGGTATGGTCTCGCGAGCATACCATACCATACCCCGCAAAAAGTCCGAACCCAGCGCTGTCACCATGAAAGCGCATGTCTTGAAGGTGGTGGTAGGTACTGGAAGCCCATATAAGCACACCTTACAGAAAAGAAAGAAAGAAAACAGACACGCCAAACGAGGGATGGGACGAGGACAGGGTCCCCACCTGCACGAGCAGGATTTTGGAAGGACGCTCAGGGGGACAGGTGGGGCTCTCCTGCTCCTGACAAGGGACACGACAGGCTCGCAGCGCGGTGCGCGGTGGACTCCCACATCCACTGGCGGTCTCATCTCAGTCTAGCGACCTGCCTCCAGCTTGTCGCTGGCAGTCTCTCCTAGCACACCTTACAGCCAATCCCGTTTCTGTCCTGTCGCTTTCTCTTTGTTGCAAAATTCTCTTTGTTGAGCCGGCAGTAAAATTCTCTCTGTTGCTGTAGCGCTGTCCGCATATGAAAGGCGCTGTCGTCCTGGCGCTCGCCTCCTCTGCGGCCGCGCTGCAGTGCGCACCGCGGCGCGCACCCCCCGCGGCCCGCGCGGCGCCGCTCACCATGGTGGACGACAACCCCATCGGCGTCGGCATTATTGGCGCGGGCCGGATCGGGCTCGTGCACCTCGAGGCGCTGTCGTCGTGCCCCGACGCGCGGCCGGTGATCATCTCCAACCCGACGCTGTCCAAGGCCAAGGCAGCCGCCGAGACCTACCCCGGCATGGCGTGGACCAGCGACGACACGGAGGTCATCAACCACCCCGACGTCGACGCGGTTTGGATCTGCTCGCCGTCGCAGGCCTCGCCTGATTCGCCCCTCCGCGCCTCCGCCGCCCCCGTCTCCTCCCTCCCCTCCCTCTTCGCCCTCCCACCACCGCCGCCTCCTCCGCCGCCACCGCCTGCTCCTCCTCCCTCCCTGCGCATCCGCCTCTCCGGCCGCCCGGCCCCGTCCTCTCAGCGGCTCCTCCCCTGCCCTCCCTTGCCCCTCCCTCGCCCATCCGAAACTCCTCCCTTGCTCCTCCCGTGACCGCCCGCCGGTTTTGCCCGCCGCAGTTCCACGCGGAGCAGATCACGGCGGCGGCGAACGCCGGCAAGGACATCTTTTGCGAGAAGCCGATCGCCACCGACTTGGCCGAGACCATCAAGGCGAGAGATTTAGCCGAGATTAGCCGAGATTAGCGGAGATTAGCCGAGATTAGCCGATCGCCACCGACTTGGCCGAGACCATCAAGGCGGTCGGATTAGCATCGAGTAAGTAGTCGGCTCCTGTTGATTCGGCACGACTGATTCGGTACGATCGCCCCCCCCTCTTCGTCTTTCAACTCCCCGGCTGCCGTCCCTCCTTCCCTCCTCGGCTCGGGAGTCTCAGCCTTTCCAAGGAGTGTGACTCTTATGACTCTTGGGACTCTTGTGACACCCGGCGGTCAACCTCCTCTGCCACATCTCCCCCTCTCTCCCCCTCTCTCCCCATCTCTCCCCATATCTCCCCATCTCTCCCCATCTCTCCCCATATCTCCCCATATCTCCCATTATCTCGGGCGCACAGGACGCGGCACAGACGGGGCACAGACGGGGCCAGGCTACGAACACGCGGGAGGCACGTACTAGACAGTTC